GTCGAACACTCCCCCAGCTAGAGCTTTTCAACAAGTTTTTCGCTTGTTTCACATAAGAAATATGTAAGGAGTAATGAAATCATATTCGCTACAGTTAGTTTTGCAAATATTTATGCATAAATTTGAATGCATTGTCTTCGTGTTATGCAGATGATTTATGTCAATTTGTCATTTGTAGCAACAGTCAATAAAAAGAGAAAGAAACTGTCGGGGCTCAGAAGCAGTAACAGCGAGCTCGTCTTCTGTTTTGTCTTCTTCCATGCGCTCATTCAGCGATTCTGTCAGTTTGTCAAGTTCACAGTTTGTCAGTTTGTGTCTCTGCGAAACTTGTTTGTCGTCTTTAAACGAATTTGTCAAAGCAGCTTCCATAACTTCAGTGGCTCGCTCTCTCTCTCTCTCTGTTGTTGTTGTTGTTGTTTATTATTGTTGCTGCTGCTGAAGTCAAACAACAGCGAAGTTTGCCGGTCGCGACTTTCGGCCAACAATAATGACATCATCGCAAGCTTAAACTTTTAGGAATTCATGGCAAATGACGTTTACTTCAGTCTATAAGCCGCATCCACAGCGAATGGCAGTGGCAAAGCGTTAGATAAAAATGTTTGCGAAACTAAAGTAAAAAAAAAAGAAAAAAGAAAAGCTAAGCAATATGTTTTACGAAAATGAACAAAGTTAAAATTGCAAATTGAGGAATATCGATTTTGGCTATGCAACTGCTATTAACACATCGTTATCCAGACAGATAGCACACTTAATTAACACTGCGCTCCATTCAATAAAATCTATACGAAACTTCTAAGCTGAAAATGAAATGAAAAACGAATGGGAAATTCACAGAGATCCGCAAATACCCTAACTTTGTTGTTTAGACATGTGCCATAATTAAAATATAGTTTACTTTTGCTGTTACTTTTACTAATTTATTTTGTATTGCATTTCAATAGAAAATATTCTATATATTCCCCTTCACTTCGTTCCATTGTTCACTTTAGAACGCAACGACCCTCTTCCAGGGCATCGCATGCAAAGCAATAAACATTAAAAAAAAAAAATACAATCGTGCACAAATTGCGTTTGGCATTTGGTTTGTAATATTTTATCGTTTTATTTATTCGCATTTTGTTTTTAATTTTTATTTCGATATTTAAATGTCTTTGGCATATACCAAAAACGCGTTGCAAATAAA